TGGACTGATAGAAGTTCCAGAGCATTGCATGATTTATGAACAAAGTTTGAACGTCATATTTTTGACATTAATCACGGAATCTGTTTATTGCAACAGATATTGCAACCTTCTCAAAGTGTCAAGTAACACTACAAAACTGAGAGCTCAAGTTGCAAAAAATCAGGATTACTAGTTTGTGATTTTGATAAAACTACTGGTATGCCAATAATATTTTAAATGGTTTTAACTATAGTGTTCGGAAGTCTTTTCGTTTTATTATATTGGCCATGAAGGTGACAAACTTCAGGGCATTAAGCTTTATACGGAATTGTTGCTACCCCTGGTAGAGGGGGTAGCGGAGTGTTTTAATTGAACTAGTTGTTCACTTCTGAAAGTAAAGTCCGCTTAACAACATGTAGATAACCAATAAAAATAAATATATTTTCTTTCATTATAAGTTAGTAACAAATCAGTGATTGTAATAAATTTTTATTCACTCGTCGCTAAGTTACAAAATTTAAAAAAAAAAACAAATGGATTTTTACCCTTGCTATTTCCATAAGAAACTTTGGTTGGGGTCCAGACTATCTTAAAGTTAATATTAAGATCTAAAACTTCCAGCTATTTTTTATTATACAATTTGGAAGCACTTGAACTCCTGGGAGCTGAGAAATTCAAATTATATACACATTAATTTTAGCAATCAAAAATTATAGAAATAAAAATAAAAAATAATTAATGATAGAATGGAGCTAATTACTGCAGCATCTCCATGTTGTGAAAAATGTAAATGCAAAAAAAATTATCTACATATAATGTACGTTCTGATTCACTAAATAAACTATGTATAACTGAAGATAGTGAGACATCGAGAAAAAAATTAGCCTCAATTATTCTTTATAATTGTCATTTTATTTATTATTTTTAAAGTATGTTTATTCCTCACTTGAAAGCAATGCATAAATCCATGTAGCATTTCCATCACCTAACCAACCATGACAATTGAAAAACACTGATTTTCCAGTACATTCGGATTTTGCCCAATCGAACGAATGACCATCTGGATTTGCGAAATACGGATTTGATCTGTATGAAACCAAACGTTGTGGATTTAAAATACTTGATCTAAAATATTAGGTTTATTTGGATCGTATATTATTCCATTACCTTGGTGTCATAACAAAATATCTTGTTGCACTATTATTATAAATGTTTGTGCTGAATATAGCTTGAGTAGCTATAATTACATCTTCTGCAGATTGTCTGTATCCAGAAAGCATTGGACAACCTCAAAAATCAAAAGTGGATTTAATTTTCATTTTTCACGATTATTAAGATACTTTACTAAATTTTATTATCATAGTAACAATTTTTCTCACTGCTTTACTCTATTAGAAACTCAGTTTTAAACTTTATATTTCAAACTTAATACGTATATTAAGTATATATACAATATAATTTATTGAACAAATGATGATTGATATTTTTCATTATCTTACTTATATTATTACTTTCTGATTGTACACTGCTATCTATATGTAATATAATGCACAAAACAACTTTATTAATATTAAACATTTTGTTAGAAGAATCATTAATAATTTTATAAGAATACTTTGTTATAGAATTTCTATAACTCACATTCTACTCGTAGTATTCATTTCTCAGAATACTAAGATTGCTTTATAAATTATGATTACATTTTTCGAAGGTAAAGATCATTATATAAATTTGCATAATATTTCAATTACGTTGTTTTAAAAATGATTTAGATTGTCTATGAAATATATATACTCGTAATTGGATAACTAAAATAATACGATCATTTTTATTAACTACAAGTGACATTATTTAAATATGCTACAATTTACTATCATTATTATTCTATTATTTCATTCAAATTTAGATCTTTTATTATGAATTTTTGGTAAGTTATGTCTTCTTTTATATCTCCTTTTTCTGTTTAGTAAGCTTCTTCTTGATGATTGGTTTAATGAGTCAGAGATATCTAAACATGTTTCTAGTTTTCCAATTTTAAAAATTCCTGGTTTGCCCCTGAAAATATTGAAAAATGCTTGAGATATTTTTATTACTCAATATCCACTCAAAAATAATTTTCTCACTCTGATGTCCATCCCAAATTATCTTCAACCCTTGGTTCTACATACTTTGGATTTGAGCAAGTGTAAATGTGTTTGTCATCAACTTTTTTTAATTTTATATATTGAAAAGTATTTTGCATAGTGGATCTAATCATGTAGATGCCTAGTTGGTGGTTGCAGCTAACATCTAAAAAAATAGAAAAAAAACTATATTAATCAAATAAAATTTTAGGGCATTTGATACAGCTCAATGATGATTGTCATTGTATACCTTCTTATGAACTATGTTTGGACATTCTAACTCTGTTCAAGAGATTTTACTCATTGAAATGATTCAGGTTATAATTATCTAAGCCATTTGTAATTAGCAGATAATGTATTATCATTATCTTTTTTAACAATGATTAAATGGCAATCAGAAAGGAAAAAACAAATTATATAAGATATTGTGCTGGTTATTAGAATCATGATAATTAGAAAAATTTTGAAAAATTGTGATTTTCGTTGAAGCAACTCGTTCAGTTCCAGATAGCTGGACGTTGATGTAACTTTTCTTAAGACAAAGTGTTTAAAATACCCTATTAAAATATTAAATCTGTTTTAAAAAGTGTATCCTTTATTTAAATTAAATAATCTGACCTAGTGCCTTGCATTGGTTCTGAGTGCAAGTGCAACTTCCTATGATTTGCTGCTGATGCACCCACTCCGACTTGCTATCACCTGCAATACAGGTGGTCTTTAGATTAATCACCGTTGCACCACTCTCTCGACTTAAGTGGATTGATGAGTCCGAAACGTTTGCTATATTGTAGGCAGGGCCGGCGGCATCGGCGGCTGAAACATTAATTACATGTAAATGATATAGTGAAACATTAATATTATGCACTGAGTACGATGTTCAGTGTTGATAGTGAATATATATACCTAATTAAGAGACAAAAACTGTATCTTTTAGATATTTTTCACTTATCTTACTCACTTATAACTCTCGGCACGACAATTCCTTTTTGCTTAAGAAGATACCCAGCAACGCCGCAATTGTGAGCCCCTATGCTGTGCCCAACAATATATAATTTTTTTCTACAATCCGTCACTTTACATATATTATTGAAAATATACTCCGACAGACCTTCAGCTATATTATTAGTTTCGCATGCTGCGGCAAAATAATTATAATTCTTAGTTGCATCGTCGTAACTACTTGCTACGCCGCAGCCTCCATACTCTTTCACGAACGCTGGAAAAAATTATTAATTGAGAAAATATTGCTAGTTTTTATATAATTTGGCATTTCATTACATACTAGATAGTAGATCGTAAGTCCATGTTTGATTTCCATCTGATAACCAACCGTGGCAAGTGAAAAGTATAGGTTTTCCACGGCATTCTGTATTTGACCAGTCGTATTGATTACCATTTGGATTTACATACTGAGGAGCAGAACTATAATAGATTCCTAATGATATTTATTCTATTTAAAAAAAATCTATTTAGAAAATTATTAAATGCTACTTAATTTATAATAATATTTCTATTATAGTATTTATAATTTTTAATTTAATTATCTTTGCAGAAATGCCCTGAATAATCTACTGCGCCTAATGAAATTTTCTTTTCTTTTTAAAATACATTTCTCCAAAAACTTGAACAATCTTGTCTTTCGACTGCCCTCAAGATCACCCAAGAATAATATATGTATTTTTGTATAAAACAATTCTATCATCTTACCTTGATGTCATTACATAATACTTAGTTTTACTATTATTATATGTCTTTGTCGACACCACAGCAGCAATTTCACCGAATGTTTCTGTCCAGTTTCGGGAGTCATTATTTTCCCGAATTGGGCAATCTAATCCTAAGATAATTTATATGATAGAATAACTTAATATTTTTGCACATTTGTTAATGACTTGTTAATGAATCACATCGTGTCCTCAATAGGACTTTGCACAATTATATTTTTCATTAATCATTACTTTATAATATTTCAAATTGTCCAATATAACATAAATCTATCGAGTTATTCCATTTGAACTTAGTATTTAATTTTTATAATGAATAAAAATTATATTTATACAAACAATTATATTTATTCAAACAAATTTTGAATTAACAGTATTAATACAACATTTAATTAATTTGTAACATGATTTCGACACACGATCAAATATGATTATTATTTACTCACGTCCAACAATTATATAAAATGCACTGAACAGCAAGTAATTGAAAATAAATACTTCAAATAAAAATTTGCACCACTTCATTTTGATACGTAATAATAATTTTTTTAGCACAACGAATATATATGTTCATTTTACGTATACCTTAACTACCAATTCGCGGAATAGTTATCAGTTTTAATGCAAATTTAGGAATTTGCAATTTGCATGTAGTTTACCAAGCTTATTGAAATTGAATATTTTATACATACACATTTATTTATTCATATATATATATATATATATATATATATATATATATATATATAACCATGAATCTTGTGGTATTTATTACATAAAATTACAGTAATTAACAATAGGTTTTAATATGGAAAATCACCACAATCTAACGAGATGCAGCCGATAGTTTGTAGACATGCCATAATATTGATGTAATTAAAAATTATATATATAACGTTTTTTACTGAAAATTGAAATAAACAAATTAAATATAATTTATGATGGCAGCCATAAAATTATAACAGTGAAAAACATTAATGACGATAATGAAATGAATATTTAGTTTGCTGTAACTACTCACCGCGAAACGATATGGAACATTATACAACAAAATGATGATGACAATTTAATACACAATTAGTCAATTTATAAAAAAACATTTTTTCTATTTTTTTATAGCGCGTAAATTAAAAAACCATTATGTATTCTATAACTATACAATGTTTATTATTCTGATCTCTATAAGAATACATTTTTTTTCTCTTTTCACTATATTATTCTACATAATGATTTTCAGTTAGCCTAAATCGACGTCCAATGTTAGATTCAAACACACAGGTAATGTTTTTATCACAAAAATACCAGGTTTGCCTCTGAAATAACATGATATTAGTAAAAATCAATATTGCTTGTAAGATATATTTCGTGGAAAATTTGCTTACTTGGATTGCCAACCAAGATTATCTAATTCCCCTTTGCATTGCTCATCTGATGGTTCAGATATTGCTGATTTGTAAGGACATTCAGAACATTCGCGAAGACTTATTAGCGGAAAATTTTTGTGCATGCTGGATTTTGTGTAGTACATTGATAACATGTGGTCGCAGCCACCTGATGATTTTTCTGAAATAATATAAAGAAAAATTATTTCTTATCATAAATCACTTAACTTATACATATTAGAAGTCAAAACTAGCATAAATATAATTAACTTTTAATAACCCTTTATATGAATCATAAATTAATCGGTTCTGTGTTTTGTACTGATCACCGTTGACGTGCACTCTTAAATCAAAGATAGCTTATTATTCATTCAGAATAAAAATGGCAAATTTATAATGAAAAATCTTCTCAAATAAGATAATATTCTCATAATGAGTTCAACTAAAATTAAAATTTTCAATTGAATATATATAAACAATAATAAAATAAATCTTAATCTTAATATGCACCATACGAGTTAAATTATTCGGTTCTGTGTTTTGTACTAATCACCGTTAACGTGCACTCTCAAATTAAATTTGGTTTATTATTGATTTGTGGCAAAAATGGCAAATTTACGATGCAAATCTTTTCAAAGTAAGTTTTATTCTCATATATCAGTTCAAATAAAATCTAATTTTTAATTTGATATATATATATATATATATTATTTTATCAATAATTAAATAGTAATCAGCAAATAGAAAAATGTTATTAGCTATTGTACTGGTTAAAATATTTTTTTGTGAAATGAAGAGATTTATTTAAGAAATTCAATAAATGAGGTAGAACAATCCAGGTCTACTATTTTGATCGAAGTTTAGTTATCTACAACTCAAAAATCAAGTTTTTCATCCCATAAGTCATTAATTGCTAATCAAAATATACACGAATATTTGTATATGCGGATCATGCTAGTCAAAATATATTTGAGGGGGCATCCATTAATCACGTGAGGTTTTTAGGGAAAGGGGGGGTTTGACAAAAAATTTCGAAATATCACGTGGGGGAAGTGGGGGTATAGTAAGATATCACGTGTATTTATTTTTGAACTGTTTTTTTTTTAAATTCAACCATTTTACAGTTTTATCACGTAACAAAAAATACACGTGATGTTTGGTGGAGGAGAGGGAGTAATTTTGAATATTATTATGTATCACCAAGGGGGAGGGGGTCCAAAAATCCTTTAAAACTCGCTCACGTGATTAATGGACGCCCCCTGAACTGATTATAGTCTGATGGTATAAGATTGTAAAAATATATTCGATCTCGTCTACTTACTTCCCCTGCCGGGGCACTGGTCTTGGGCGCTCCCGCAAAGGCCGATGTACTGCGTCTGATGAGCCCACTCCGGCCGGCCGGATCCGGCGAGCGATGATGTTTTTATATTAATCACTGTACTTGCGCTCTCGCGTGTCATATGCCTCGTTGGATCTTCGGGTTGCAGTTTGTTGAAATATGGACCAGCGGCATCGCTTGCTAGAATTTATTATTATCTAACGTGAGCAATGTGCTTGCATTTAGTCATTTATAGTATGATACGAACATGTTTTGTTTTTTACAGACACATATATAATAAAGTGTGAAACCTTACCTGTTTTTGTCAACAGTTAGATATTAATTATTGATCAAAATGTAATCAGTAGTGCATTCATATCTTACCGTTCATAGTTTGTTAATGCAAAAACGCTAGTGTACATTCACTAGTAATGATTATATAAAGTATACTTTCTTTAACCCCAACTGACGATTTAGATTCGAAAATCGCGCCAAATTTGTTCAAGTAGGCGCAGCGTTTCTGATTATTTTCCCACACAGTGTACAGTTTATCGCAAAAATAAACTAGTGGGGTGTATGGCATTGTGCTTTAAGGCAAATTGCTGGAACTTCCCGTACCGTAACGGATTGTTAGAGAAATGCTGAATGTTTTCAAATATTTTATTATTAATATTGTAACATTCTCTAATATTTATAAGAATTATATAAATTGAATGACAAAGTTGAAATTATTTGTTTAAAATAGGTATATTAGAACTATAGTCATAATTAAAAATAAAATCTGAATTATTTTCGATACACAAAAAAATGTAGTTTGATACAACTTCAAGTGGTTTGATTACCAACCGAAGTTCTTGTCTATACAATGCGGAATTGTTGGTCTATGGTTTGTTAAAATTATCGCATCGATCGCACTTTCTGGATCAGTTTGTACCTGCGTTTAGTAGTAACATGATCAATGGCGTGTTACCTAAGAAACCAGGACAGTTTTATGTTAGTGAGATTTGTTAGCTACGCTTGTGCTTGGACTTCTTCATAACTGAATTCGGTAAGTGAGTATTGCATTTTTCTTAAATATAAGTTTAATTATATATTATTTTATTTTTTACAATATGTTTGTATTAACATCCCGGGTTATATCGTAGCTATGTACACCGTCGGTTGTTTCGGAGCTCTTTCAATTTTACGTGTTATTGGAGTGTTGACTGTAGTTGTGATTACATAACATTCAGATAATATATTTTTAATTTTATTATAATTATTTCTTTGATGTTGTGATAAAGTGTTTGAACATTTTTGATTTTTTTTTTAAGTTTCAATTTAAATTTGATAATAAATTATTACACTTTATAATCAACAACTTAGGTCAAATACTCCCAAACGTTGCGACTAGATACACAAATGAAGTAAATTTGATTTTAATTATTACTTAAATGTAATTGTTTATCGAATCTATTCACAATTCAAACGTTGTGAAATATATTAGTTTGTTTTTCAATCTGAAAGTCAGAAATCTCTTTCCTTGCATTTTCAAAACGTTGCCAGATTTAATGCCATTGAATCGCAACGATAGTGATACGTTTCCCAAATGACCCAGAATTTGAAATTTATGAAATTCATACATTCAATGATAAATTGCACGTGGGCACTTACCTATAAGTCTGTAAGGTTTAAAACCTCTTTGTCCCAATTTATAGCCGGCAATTCCGCATGTATGCGCGCCCCAGCTGTGTCCATGCAATTGCAGATTTTGCGAGCAATTTGTAACAACTTGGCAAATATTGTTCGTCAAGTAATCGGCCATCGACTCTGCGATGTCCTCTGATTTGCTAAAAGCGAAAATAACATTGCGTCTTATCGAAGCGCCGGAATAATCACTTGACACCGAGCAACCTTTATACTGTTCGACGAATGCTAGAATAAAAATCAATTGCATTCTTATTTAGCGAGAAATTAATATCTGAAAATATATTGAACGTACTTTTTGCTATATCAATAAAAATCGACTGTAGGGCACTGCCATCCCATCCATGACAATTAAACAAAATTTGTTTGTTCTTGCAATCCAGTAGCGACCAGTCGATGTTCTCACCATCGGCGTTAACAAAATTTGGATATGACCTTTGGACCCAAAACAATGTTATCTAGATGTTCGTGTATTGTGGTAAAATAATTTAATAATTACCTCGGTGTCATGACATAATACTTCATATTTGTAGTATTATATTTTTTGAATGAAATTAAATTTTTTGCTTCTTGTATCATATCAACCCATGAGAACGTAGGCGTTTCCAGCTGCGCACAATCTACCAAAAAATACACGTTTGAACAAAAATTTTTGGGCACAACAATTGTATCTTTCTATACTGAGTATTTTTTACAATAATTAAATAGCAATCAAAAAAATTCACTGAGTATTCATAATTATATTATTACCTGTTTTTGCATTTACACTAACTACAGTCACAAATATTAACAGTATTCTAAACATTGTGAATAATTATTCTCAAATGATAAGTTTTCTTGATGAATTTTTGTTTGATACTTTGCAAGCAGATATTATTTATTTACAGTAATTAATAATGATATTTCTGTCGTAATTAATTAGTGATTTGCTAGTCGCGACAGATAACTAAATATTGACGTTGAACACATTTATGTCTAATAATTTTTTCAGTTATCAATAAAGATGTACTTCACATTTTATATAAAAATATTTTATTTTTAGGCTTTGAGGCTTTGCTCAAATACATATATTATACGTATCCTAAAGTTTGAGGCTTTGCTCAAATACATATTACATACGTATCCTAAATTACGTAATATTTTTCGATCGCCTATACTTATCAATACAATATTGTAGCTTCAATTTATTCAAATGTAAATATTACTTTGCCGGGAATATAGGTAAATGAGAATAATTATTTGCATTGCTAACACTATCTGTTTTTGATAATCTTTTTGATAGATAAATTTTATTTTTGGATTATAATTATGATTTCATACTTTAAGTATCAAATTATTAATTCATCATTTTCGAATACGTTTTATATACATACATAAAATATCGGATGCTTTTGAAGTATCCATAATAAAATTGTTTATGCTCATGACATAAATTTTGATGAGCGAGTTTCCTACATGCACAAGATTGTTCTTTATATTAATATTTTATCATTCAACGAAAGTTCAAATGCATTCAGCAGATACAGTATTTTTATACTGTTTTACAAAGTCACTGGAATTTTTCCAGCAGTTTCTCTGGAGTAGATACTGCTGTAGTATACGGTGAAATAAATGCATTTTGCATAGAATAGTTCCATCGTTTGCTAACGATATATAAAAGAACACTTCAATATTTGTTTTGTTCGTTCCCAGAGTAACTTTATTCCTGTGTACTCTGGAACTAGTTAAAATGATATATTCACCTACCTATGGATATAGTAAAGTACATAATAATATTTCAATATTTTATTTCTTTGACTTGGAAGATCAAAGGAATAAAAGGAAGTTCAAAATTGGTTAGCAATAGTACATTCACATTATTAAATATATACTATGAATTGTTCTAAAATATTTTCTATATTTTCGAATATTTCATTCAGGTACGGAAAGTTTCAGAAATTTGCCTCAAGGCACGATATGCAATGCACCACTAGTTTATTTCTACTATATGACAACTTACATCATTCCCAATAAATAATTGATTGAAAGTCAATTACCAATACCTGTTTATTTTATGGCCCTTTTGATTGGCACAGAACTCTAATTACGTACTGAAACTACCAAAGCATCTAAAACGTTCATTTCGTTGCAAAGTAGATAAAACGGCTATAAAATTTGTAGCTTTATAGAAACTTTTACCGATAGAAAAATATTTGAACGTACCGTTAAACGTCTGCTAAATGTAATAAAATCGTTTGGCTTTTTACGCATCATTAGACACAAATCACTATAAGGAAAAGTACATTATCAGAAAGCAATTTTGTTCTAGGACGAAATTGGAATTTAATAATATAAAATAATAGTATGAACTGTAATATTTTACAGTTAGTTATATACCAATATATGTTATGTAATAATTGATATTTGAAATATTAATATTTATATTTAATCGACAGTCCATCCAGGCCAAAATCGGTCAAGCTGCTTAAAAATAGGGTTACGGTATCCAAAATCAGATCAGAGTAATCGAAATCGTAGACGGGCTACAATCTCATAATTCACTACCTGCAATATTTTATCAGAAACAACAATATTTTAATTACTTTATGATATCAGACAATTGTAAAATCTAAAGGAGAAATAAATATTTACAAATTACATCAGTGTTTCACAGTTTGTTATATTTCAACCCTTAAATAAACAGATAAGGAAAAAAATATTTCCATTTTTAAATAATTAACTTATTTTAATATCTTGAATACATTGAAATATCTATGTCGACTACATATAAAGACTTAGCTTAAAATGATATAATGTGGAAATAAAATATAATACAGAGACAAATCCATAAAAATAATTTCATATTGCTGGTCTTGTTTTACACATTGAAATTGAGTTTGATTTTATATTTATTTCAACTTTAAAAAGTATTATATAATTCTATAATGTCTGGATTTCATTTCTTTTGTTTTTCAAAATAATTGGTTTGGAGTCAAACAAAGCACCTCTAAATCTATTAGAATTTGTTAAATATTTTTTGAAATAATTTATTATTTAATTTAAATTTGTTTTGCTTCTATTTATTTGAGAACAATAAGCAGAGATTGCTAATATATATATATATATATATATATACAAGCAAATATTGATAAAAAATTAGATATACCCAATGCCGTATCTATAAGGGATGTAATTTTCTGGATGGCTGTAAAATATTTTTTTTGTTTTTATTTATATATCTGGTACCATTACAAAAATTCATGTATTTTTTTTAAATAATTTGTATGTTCTCACATTAAAAGGGGATGGAGAATCAAACTTATCATTTGAACGTGTAGAAGTCTATCAAATTTTTCTTAAAGTTGATTTTCTGTGGATGATAAAGATTCTTTTGATTGTATTTATATAATTTCCACCTTCTGAAAAAAGTGTTTAATTTTTTGACAGATGATTTGATTTTTACACTAGAGACAAGTCAAAGTTGTACTCATTTAAATGTTTGGAGGACTATTAATTTTTTTAAGAAATACTTTAGTTTTTCTCTCCATTGCATGGATGGATGCCTGTTAAATTGAATATATCAATATATGTATATATTTATATACTTTATATAAATTCATTATATTATATGTATTATATATATATACATTATATTATATGTATTATTTGACAACTTTGCACTCACGAATGACAATCGCATAACTGTCATAATCCAACAACGTACTTTCCACAATATTTGATATTACATAGTTTCACTTGTTCTTAAAGTTGCAATTCCGATTTCTGCTATTTCTAGCAGTTCAGCATGCGGTTTTCTTGCTCGTCTGGCT